GGATTAGGGGTTTTGGGGTTTAGGGTTTAGGGGTTTAGGGGTTTAGGGTTTAGGGTTTAGCGGGGTGTGGGAATCTGTGGAGTGAGGGCTTCGTCATGTTGCAAAAGAGCTCCTGCCTGGGGATAATAGGATAAGCGCCTAAAACAAAGCGTGGTCAACAAAAAGCACCATAAAAGCGCATGAAAACCTCTTGACGCAGGAACCCAATGCTTGGTTCTGGAAGGCCTCCTTCCGCTGCCCCGAGCCCTTCATGCGACCTCGAAGCCGTCAAACCTGGAACCCCAGACCCTAAACTGTTGAACCATAAACCCGAAGTCTTGAGCCCCTTGCTCATGTTATCGGTAGTACAGGTCTATGGGCTTGTATTAAGTGTACTGAATCCCATTTCATCAGCTACGATGTTGAGGTTGACGTGGATGCGTCCGGAGCCCTTCCTAGAGGAGGCTTCGTGAGATGCATGGGGGTATCAGGAGACTGGGTGCCATGTTTGTGTGTCCTACTGTTGCAAGTGGTGACACATTGATTCTTGACTATGGTGGTGACTTTCAGTAGAGGAAGTGATCGTCGTGATGATGCTATCGTGGTTGCAGCTTTGATGGTCGTCCTCGCAGTGATGACCACGGCATTTACCTCGCATGTTTAGATGCAGGCTGAAAAGATGCTTTGAGGCTTCGGCTTGGTTTAGGAATTCCAGGTCCGCGGCGACCGAATTGTTTTGGGGCATGCGGTCAGAGTGGACTTCAGTCTCGGGGGAGGAATTGGTGGGATATGTTTCGGGGGTTGGAGCTGGGCATGATGTCTTGCTGTCGACCCATGATGTGAGCGAGGCTCTTGCGCGGGTTCCCACCACGGCTTTATGAAAGTACAAAAAGAAGAAAATCATATGGCAGCCCGAGGAGTCAAGGATTCCCGCGGTTCCTGCACGTCAGTTGTTAGATCTGGTGTAGGTCTTACTGTTTTAAGTTTGCCTGTGTTGACAGAATGCCTCCACTCAGAGCTGCTGTTCAGCATGCTGACACGTCATGAGAGCATCGTTGTTCGCCACGTTTTTGTCCTTTGCATCCTTTTATGCTGGTTATGAGGCCCATGGCTGCAGTGTTGAAGTAGTGTTGATGACGATGATGGTTGCTGTGATCACGGTGTTTGACGACCAATAATTTTCAGGCGTGGAACAGGGCGTAGAGTTTCAGGTTAGCAGAAAAGGGATGTGTAGAAAAGCATGAGCTTGTTTGTGGTAACCTGAATTGAATTCCTAAGCGGAAAAGCTGTCCAGCTCTTTAAAATCCCATTGATACCCTTTAGACCTGTGCTGTGGGAAACCCTAAACCCTAAACCAAATTAGGCTCTTGTGCAGCAACTTGCAGGGGCACTCTTCCTGAGCATGGCCAGCGAGGCCTTCCCTTTGGCAAAAGTTGTAGGGTTGAAGGGTTGAGGGCTTTGGGTTTAGGGTTTAGGCTATTTAGGGTTTTAGGGTTTAGGGTTTAGGGTTTAGGGTTGAGGGCCGTAATGTTCTATGGTTTAGTGCAGGGTTCGGGAATTTGGGTCCCCTCTGGTGCCGGGCGAGTGTCCTACTGCTACTTGAGGTCTCCACCATTGGCTGTGCGTTCGTGCCTTGCAGTGTGAGCTTTGAGTGTTATGAAAACAGTCGGCTGGTCCTAGGTCTTAGCCTGTCGATCGGTCATACAGAAGGACCAATCAATGATACAAATGCATACATGTACATGTACTTGTATGTATGTATATATATATATATGTATGTATGTATGTATGTATGTATGTATACATACATACACATACATAGACATAAATGTGGGTACATCTTTATCCATCTGCCCTTGTTGGTGTTGCACGTACGTGTACATGCACAATGCGATAGCACTACTGTCGGCTTAGCAACGGGACAAAGCCCTTTGAGGCCGATATATTGATTGCTCCACTTCCAGGGTTTAGGGTTTGGGGTTTCGGGTTTAGGGTCTAGGGTCCAGGGTCTAGGGTTTAGGGCTTAGGGTGGGGTATTGGGATTCGCACTGGTAGCTGCAGCAAGCTTCCCGACAAGTCGGAACCACATGCAAAGAACTCGCCCAAGTCCCCCCACAGACGAGAGCGCCTTCTTTTTTTTTCCGGCTTTCCCGTTCTTTCTTGGTGGCGGCCCCTGCTTGGCAAACTGGCTAACCGGGATGGTCCTCTTTTGCCCTTGCCCTATGGAGCATTTGGACATAGCGCCGAGGGGTCTCTGGTTGGTGGGTCCTGGCGTGAACCGTCTAGGTTTGAGGCTTTGCCATCTTGGCTTGTAGGTCGCGGCTTCTGCGAGGGTTAATTGCTGAAGCCTCAAAGATCAAAAACCCTAAACCCTAAACCCTGAACCCTTAACCCTAAACCCTAAAAAGCCGAAGTTGCGAAGACGCGAGGCCCTGCGGCTCTCGGCACTTAAGCAGTCGCTGCTCACCGCAGAGTGGAGCAAGGAGGACGTGGATGTTGTGGCACGGCTGAGAGTTCAGGCTTTAGGATTAGGGCCTAGGGTTTATAAAGTTTTCAGGATATTGTAGGTAGGCCTAAGGTCAAGGGTCGCGTTCGGGTTTGGACCCTCATACAAAGTTAAGGGTTACGGGTTGCAGGGGCTCCGGCTTTCCTCGAAGCCCCTGGCCCAAAGCTCTACACTCGCCCTCGCTTTATACCGTGCCAGGAAGGGTGTTATTGGCTTCTCACTCACTGTGGCGAGAACCCCAAACCCTGAATAATGATTATGCTTGTAGTCCAAGCTGTGATCTGCTAAACTGCTTCTTTGGTCCGCTTCGCAGACTCGACTCGTTGAGTTTGCCCGCGGGGTTGTAGCTACCTTTCGGGAGATATAGTATCGCGTTGCAATGCGTTGCACCTTGCACCGCTCGCTCGCTCTCGCTCTCTTGAGTGGGGGGGCCGAGGTCCCTCAGCCCAAAACCCCAAGCCCTAAGCACCTAACCCACCAAACCTCAAACCCCCAAGCCCTACTAAAGCTACACCCCGAACCCCAAACCCTAAACCCTAAACCCTAAACCACAGGCCCTAAACCTAAACCCCAAATTCCAAGCCCTTTAAACCCCAAACCCTCAATGCAAACTCCTGTTTGGACTGAGGCCTTCCGCTCGCCGGCGAGCAGCTCGAGCTCCTGGTCCAAGCGTGTGCTCTGCGCGGGCAAAGGCCCCTCTGCCCTAAGCCCTAAGCCCTAAACCCTAAACCCCTAAACCCTAAGCCCTGAACCCTCTGGGCTAACTCCCTGAGCCCGAAATTCTAAACCCTCAGCCCTCAACGTTTCCAGTTCCCCGTCGTGGAAGCCGTTA